AGTGGTTACTCTTCATGGTATCGCTACGATTTATACGATCGTTACGAGAATATTTCGTACACTCGTCACTCGCCACGGTTATTACCGCCGCCGCCGCCGCCGTTTACTCGCTGCGCGTCACGCGGGTTTTTACTCGTCGGCGAGTGGCGGTGAGTAATAATGTCACAACGCGATTCTGGACGACGGTCGTCTTCCGGTGTGTCCGTCCGTCCGCCCGTCGTCAGCGACGGTGACAAGACTCGACAAGCCACACCGACTATTATAATACTATCGCGTTTCTGCGATACGTGCCCCCACACCGCAATATTAGTTATTATGATATTATTATTAATATGCTGGTTTTTGTGCACCGTAGCGTTGTGGGTATAATATTTGTATTTAATTTTTTCTGTCGTTTATTTACGGATTTGTGCAACACTATGTCATTATCGTGTACGCAGTTACCGGACGTGATAAACATTCGTGCCATTTTTATTATTTTTTTTTTTTCCTCACTGTGTTTAATTCGACCGTAACACGGCCGTCCCAGACGTGGAAACTTCGAATTACGCAGCTGCTAACACGTTATTATGTCGTGTACAAAGCATAGGTTGTCCGTGAGAGGGTGGATGTTTTCGTATTATTCGAAATACTTTATCCTGCGGGGCTCGAAATGATCTCGCCGTATTCACCGCGCCACTGGTAGTGCAATATTTTATTATATTATATTATATTATATTATATTATATTATATCAGCTGAATGGGGGGAGGAAAGAAATAAATCGCACCCATCTAATCGTTTTTTCTTCCCTACAGAACATTACGCACTTTCCGTCATACGTTTTCGGAGTAGGTTGTTGTTAGAATTACTAATTAGTCATAACAAGTCGTTACCTTAAGTATTTTTTATTTATTTAATACCTACCTACACGTCACTTGTAATAATTGTTTATTAGTTCATTACATTAATAATAAAATAATTACATTTTTAACATAACACACATTTAAAGACTTACTGCCTTATTGGTAGGTATCCACATAGAATACTAATTTGGTTATGCGCGCACGTTTTGAAAGGTCATCACGAATAAATTTCATAAAAACTAATTGTTTTAATTTTAATAACGATGCTAATTCTTGTCGTTAATCAACACAATTTATTTATTTATCATAAGCTATTGTTACATTAAATTTGACCGTACTAATTAAAACTATGTGATGAATGTAAATAAACTCAAGATTAACATTTTGCAATCCAGCATAATAATTATTCAATTAATTATACAATTTAATCACCATTATTTTTTCGATATAATACTGTATGCGTATATTATATACGTAATATGATCACAAAACCAAAATTTGAAGGGGTTAAATGATTTAAATTTAACTACATTAAACTTGGTCATTTGATGTCAAATTCAATATGTTTTAATGAGATTTATGCATGTGGGGTATCCACGTGAGAACACCATGTAGAATGTAGATATATGCAGATATTTGCATTTAGCCGGGAATGACTCAATGAGGTCACTGAGCCATTACTTGTGAGTTATTCTATAGGTATTTCAGTATTTGTATGTGTATAAAGTTGATATTTTATAGTTTATTATCACATAATGAAGTACAAATTATAACTTTATATATAACATACTGTGTATTAAACGCAATCACGCAGTAAATATAATACAATTTGCACTTAACACTTAAGTTCCAAATATAAAGTCTACTAATTATATTTAATAATAAACTGTTCATAGTTTAAAAAATTTGAGATATTTAGGTTTCAATAATGTATATATTATATAGTTTGTAATCTAAATTAAGTTTCAAGTATTTCATTTCCGTTAAATTAAAAATCTTACATTTTTCAGACAAAGCTAGAAATATCTCAAATATAAAATAATATCTTTATATGCAATGTTCAAAATACAATTACATTAAACCAACACTTGACTGAAGAGAAAAAATAACTATCAATATTTTGTAAGTTCACACATAATATACGCTTGTATTGAATTCATGTTGAAGAGTGAAAACATTATCGTTCCATATATTAATGTCCTAATAACTTATTACTAATAAGTAATAATTTACTATACACATGACGGAGACATATTCGCTTAACCTAACCTAATTTGTACACCTATTACCTAGTACCAATGGTTATAAATACTGTTATCTATAATCAATGGTAGTACCTACCTATATGTATAGTCTTTATTACTATTCTCCTATACATCTTCAAAAACATTTTCTAAAAGATGTTTATAAGTAACTTATAATATTTAGGTGATTAAAACTATTAATATTAACATTAATACTGTAAATAACTTGTAGTACTGTACTAATAAGATGTCAACAAAATCTTACTATTTTCAAAATTAATTATTAATTTTTCATTATGCATAATATTACTTTTAATATATAAGACACTAAAAGCAATTTAATATTTATTTCAGTATTTTACACAGGTTTTTTCTCATTTGTATTGCTCTCCACTATTGTAGCATTAATAAAAAGTATGTATAAAACGGTATTAAAATAATTAAAAAAAATAAGAAGTAAATAAAATTAAAATCGTTCCAATGAACTCATAGATCGTTTTTTAAATATTTGGTTCAGTAGGATTTTGAGTAGTTGTAGTTTTAATTTTATCGAAACAGGAAGCTCATGTGTATATTTATTTAGTGACGACTATTTATATTACGTATCATAATGTCAAATATTAAAAACAAATTAAGAATTGTCCATATACTTTAATGTACAGAGCGTTTCTAAGACAAATGTTACCAATCACCATTATAAGCTATAAATATTATAATATTACGAATAATGACAATATTAGAAAATTAAGTACAATCCTAGGTGGAGCTTGGGGGTTAGTCCCCCAAAATTATTGAAAATTTTTCATTGTATTAAATAGGTACCTATTTTGCAATTATTCAAAGAGAGATTTAAACCCCAACCCCCTAAAATCCAATCAAATATTCGCCTATGAGTAAAATAGTAATACGGTATGTGTAGATCAACTTTATTTCGAAAATTTCGATTTTGGATCAAATCATCACCGAACATGTTAAAAATAAAAATTGTAGCATTTACTGTAGAAACACTCTGTATAAATAAAATGTCTATATGTTTTAGAAATAATCAAGGTGTAGTTATTCACTACAAATTTCGTAGACTAAATATTTGTCGCTCAATGAGTTCTAGCGAGTACGAACTACAATCCTGTCACGTTCTGAATTGTCGATTTTAGACATAGTTAATAGTACAATGTCACTGTCAATTATTTTATCTTACATTAGCTATAATAGAATAATACATATTATAGTGTCTATATTATTATACGTTCTTAACTTCTCCCTAAATAACTGACATATGTATGCATGTTTAATGTATATGCATAATAATATATATGTATTGTATATTCAGTTTTCTGAAAACATATCGAAAATGTCTATAATTACCGATTTAGATGAGAAACTGAAATATCTTGACTCTTGAGTATAAATATGAAAACGATCGTGGGCCTTGGGGCGTTATAGACAATTCGGTGACT